GCGCGGCACCCGCGGGGAGTCGGGGACCTCCCTGCTCCCCCCGGGACCTCCCTGCTCCCCCCGGGACCTCCCTGCTCCCCTCGGGCCCTCCCGCTCCCGCCCGGTCCCTCTCTGCTCCCCTCAGCCCCCCTCGTTCCCCCTCGGATCCCATCACTCCCCTCTGGGCCCTCTCTGCTCCCCCTGGACCCTCCCGCTCCCCCGGCCCCGGGGGCCATCACGTTCCTTGCTCGGTGCCGTGGGCCACCCACCGTCCTGCGGGACCCCGTGCCTGGCGCTGGGCTCCAGCCTGGCCGCCGCAGGCAGCGGTTTCTCCATGTCTTAGAGCTTCTGGACAGGTCGGAACCAGACCGGATCCCAAGAGCACATCCCGTGTCTGGAGMGGCGTGAGGGGCCTGGCCTGGCCGGTGCCAAAGATGTTCCCTCAAAACCGTCCCCCGGTGAGACTGCGGCTCGGCCTCGTGCCCGTCGCGGACAGGGATGAGCATGTGGCTCCGGTGACAGCTCTTGGCCTGTCCCTCCTGTGGCTCCTGTGTCCCAACCCGGCCAGGCTCCCSCCGGGAGCAGTGGGCGATGCCTTGGGCACATCTGGGCCGGGCTTTGCTGTTCCTGCCGCCTGCGTGTCGTGGGCACAGGGCACCATCAGTCCTCCTGCTCCCTAAACCTGCCTTGTGCTCTGCAGTGTTGGGGTCAGGGGTTCAACGGGAAGTTGGAGAGAGTTTCCCTGGGTAGATCCAGTGGGAAACTTGGTGGTGGGATGTAAGGGTGTGGACGGGCCGTGATACAGGGCACAGAGGGTCTCTGCGATGGCCCTTGTGCCCCTACCCGCGTGGGCCACGTTCCCTGCAGCATCAGCGCTTGTTAATCCCCCTCCRCTGGCCCTGCGGCTGAACCTCTGCCCGGAGGGAAAATCGGCAGCCCCGAGTGTCCGCCCAAACTGCTGCCTCCGGCACGCGCTGCCCTCCGGGAATCGCGCCGGGAGCAGCGAAACCGCCCGGGGCCGGGGTCCATGACCGTGTCCCCTGCTGGGCCAGGCCCACCTGCAGGCCCCCTCCRCGGCCGCGGGAGCCGCCGTGGCCGCCAGCGCCATCCCCGCCGCCTCGCAGGCCCTCAAGCTGACTTACCCGGAGACCCTGGACCGCATCAAGGAGGAATTCCAGTTCCTGCAGAATCAGTACCACAGGTGAGGGGCTGCAGCCCGTGTGCCGGTCAGGAGCCTTAGGCGGAGCTGGCAGGAGGTGGCTCCGCGCGGCACCGGGCACCGCTGGCACCGGGCACCGCTGGGGCACCGGGCACCGCTGGCACCGGGCACCGCTGCGGCTGGCAGCACGGCCAGTCCCCATCTGGGGGGCGGCTGCACCGGGCAGCACCTTGGCTGCTTGAGCTGGCATCGTCTGGGGGTGTCTGCCCTCCCAACCTCCCTGTCCTGGAGCGCTGGGATGGGGTCTCGTGTGAGGGACCGAGCCCTTGGGCTGGTGTTTCGGAAGCCGCCGCTCCCTGCGCCCGGAGGCTGGAGGATCCCTGCTCCGCGCGCCGGCCGCAGCCAGGGCTGAGCTCTGCAGCCTGCTCCATTTGGGAAGCAGATGCTGGGGGGGGAAATGCCACAGATCAACCCCTGACATGGGAGCCCCTTCCCATCCGCCCCAGCCCCTTCCCACCCTCTTCAGGTGGTGCTTTTCTTGGCTGGTGCCTGGCGCGGGATGGAGGCGGCCGGCGGGAGGCCGGGGCGAGCGGTGTGCAGGGAGGCTCCCGCGCTGTCCGCCCTGGAGACCTTCCCTGCCCGGGCTGAGCCGGGGCTCTATTTTCCTTTCTTTCCCTTTCTTTCTTCTCTCTATTTTTACAGCTTGAAGTTAGAATGTGAAAAGCTGGCAACGGAAAAAACAGAAATCCAGCGTCATTATGTCATGGTGAGTGAGCTGCACCTGAAGGGAGCAGGGTCGGGCGGCTCCTCTGAACCGCCAAAGGATGTGCGGCCCCAGGTGCTTCAGCTGCCCTCGCTTTGGGGTTTGGAGCCAGAACCCGGTTCCTGGGTCCGTTGGTGCCTCTTTGTCCCCACGTACACAGTGGTGCTGGAGCAGCGGTGGCCGCTGCAGCGCACAGAGGGATGCGGTAGCGTTCCCATGCGCCCGGCCCCGTTCCACCTGGCATCGGTGGGCGCCCGCGAGGGCCGTGTCCATCCCCCAGGCTGCAACCAGGCTCTGCTGCCTGGCCCCAAAGCCGGGACTCTTTTGCCTTTGGTCTGGGAAYGCGAGTGTTGTGTCGGGAGACACCGCAAAGCCTCGCGGGGGGCTCTGCACGCGGCTCACGCGCTGCTCTCCCCTCGCAGTACTACGAGATGTCCTACGGCCTCAACATCGAGATGCACAAGCAGGTGGGTCCTGGYGGGCAGCGCCGCCCAAGGAGGGGGAGAAGGGGGCCGCGCGTCACCCCCCGAGGAGCTCTGCCCCTCTGCGTGGTGGCCTCGCGGGAGGGCTGGCCTGGCCGCACGGGTGCTGCAGCGTCGCCCTGGATGGAGGCGTGTGGCCCCGGGGGGCTGCGCGGCGGGGGGCTGCGCGGCGGGGGGCTGCTGCTCGCGGGCCTTGCTGCCTGGGGACACGGAGCCGCGCGGCGCTCGGGCCGCCAGCTGCCGCGGGCAGGCGGCTTCTGCTCATTTATTTTTAAAAAGGCTGCAGAGGAGCGTGCGGGGAGGTGCTGCACGTGGCCCCTCTGCCCTGGCCCCCCCGGCCTGCTCGGCTGTTGCCTGCAGGAGCCCGTGGCCACCTGGGGAGCTGGGCCCGTGGGAGGGATGGATGGATGGTGGCGGTGCAGGGGGGCCCAGGCGCTCGGGGGCTGGAGCCCCCCCGAGGGCCGCCAGCGCCTTTCATCTGGTGGCCGCGCGGGCGGCCGCGTTGCTGCCGCTCCAGGTGCCGCTGGCTGCGCGCCACGGAGCTGTCTGCACCTCTAACGAGGGCCGGGGGCCGGCGCGGCCGGACCGCCAGCACCGGGGCTGCCGCGGGGCCCGTGAGCACCGGGCGCGTGGTGGGGCTGCCACGGGGCCCGCGCGCCTCCCTCGCCCCCAGACCCAGCCTGGACCCACGTCCCCGAGCTGCATCGGGAGCCCCCGGCACGCACCAAGTCAGGGCCTCTCGCTCATGCCGGGTTCCCRTCATCCCCTCCGGCCCTATCGCGGTCAGTCCTTGGCGCTCTCCGTGCCAGGGCCGGGGGTGATCCGGCGGGTTCGGATCACTCGGATGCCCGGTTCCGTTGGGGAGCACGCCGGCAGCTGGAGGAGCCGGGCCCTGTTGCGGTGGCCGCCGCCGGCTCAGCGGGGCAGGCTGCGGGTGGGACCGGGCCGGGGACACTGGTTCTGCGCCGCTGTTTGGGTTTGGGCGCGGATCTGGCCCGCAGCTCTTTGTAACCCGCCTGGCCGCGGGCTCGCGCGCCGCACGCCGCAGGGGAGGCGGCCGCGCTGGTGGCTGGGGGGGCTGCAAACAGCACGATCATTTTTCATGCTGAGAGCGTTAAAGTGCCAGTAAATTGCACATTAACGAGTGCGAGTGAATTGGAGGCAGCTCTCCCCAAGGAGCTGCTGCCCATCAGTGCATTAGGGAAGAGAATCCATCACTGGCGGCCCCAGGAGACAGCTAAATCCTTCCCAGAACTGCTGCCTGCCAAATCTCGCTGGCTTTTYCCCCCCTCTTCCTTTCTTCTTTTCTTCCTTTCTTTCTTTCTTTGCCTTTTTCCTCGCTGCGAGGGCGGCGCGGGGCTCCGAGCCTGGGAAGCGCCGCGGCGGCTCTTGCCGAGGCGGCCGGGCCTGGCTTCTTCCTGCGCTTGCCGGGGTTCTGGGGTGCCCATCCGGGGCCAGAGGCGCTTGGGTTTAGGGCAAAGGCTGCTCGTGCGCGGTCGCTTCCCGGTGCTGGGCTGCGGGTCGAGGCGCAGGGGAGCCCGGGCTTTGCTGCCGCCTCCTGCAAGGAGTCTCCCCTCCTCTGTTTTGCTGAGGACTCTCAAGTCCGGGGTGGCAGCGGCTGTGGAGAGGGGGCTCCTCCCCGGCAGTGCCAGGGTGGTCCCGGGGGTCTCCGTGTCCCTGGTGCACGTTGGAGCAGGGACTTGTGCAGCGCCCTCGGAGCAGAGGGTCGGAGAGGGCTCAAAGGGCAGGGGGAAGCGGGGAGCCCCTGCCCTGGCACCCCGGGAGCAGAGCCGTGTGGCACCAGCTCCAGCAGCCCTGGGGTGTCCAGGGGAGGCAGGGGGCTCTGCTGGGAGCCCCTGCACCCCTGGACCGGCAGCAGGGCCAGCTGCCCCTGTCCKCTGATGTCCCGTGTCCTTCCTCTGYTTCCAGACCGAGATCGCCAAGCGGCTCAACGTGATCTGCGCCCAGCTCATCCCGTTCCTGTCTCAGGAGGTGGGTGCGCCCGGCTGCGCTCCCGCTGGCCCTGGCCAGAGCAAAGGGCCCTGTGCCCTGGCCCTGGGGGCAGGAGCCGCTGTTCCCGCGGTGCAGGGGCTGTGTCCCCGTGTGTCCCCATGTGTCCCCGTGTGTCCTGGGGGTGGCCGGGCCGCTCGCCTTGCCGGGCTCCGACTGTCCCCTCTGCCGGCAGCACCAGCAGCAGGTGGTCCAGGCCGTGGAGCGGGCGAAGCAGGTGACTATGACCGACCTGAACGCGGCGATTGGGGTACGTCGACGTCTGCGCCGGCCGCCCGGGCGGCGCTGGGGCCCTGCGCACGGAGCTGCCTCCGAGGCCCTTGTCCTGCCCCGTGGGGAGGGAGCCGGGGGCGCCTGGGGTGAAACCCGGCTCGGTGGAGACGTCGGGAGGCCTGGGGCTGGTTCCGTCTGTGTGTCCCGAGTTCTGGTGCCCCCCAGCTCTGGGGGTGGGAGGTGCTGCCCACCCACCCCGTCCCCCCGGAACGTGCCCCCCACCAGCTCCCACCCTGCCCTGGAACCAGCGCCTCCGGGCCGGGCTGACCGGGGCCGGCCGCTCTGCTCTGCGTCCCGCAGCACCAGCTCCAGGCGCAGCACCTCCCGCACCACGCGCCCCCCATCCCGCTGACCCCCCACCCYGCAGGGCTGCAGCCCCCCGGCCTGGCCGGCCTGGCCGGCGCCTCGGGGCTGCTGGCGCTGTCGGGGGCACTGGGGGCGCAGGCGCAGCTCCTGGCCAAGGACGAGCGGGGTGGCCACGAYGCCGAGCACAGAGGTGAGCGGGGCCCTGCAAGGGCAGCCACGGGGCTCTGGCCAGTGGGGTGCCCAGTGGGCGCCCGGCTCCGTGTCGCGCCCAGCTCCTGGGTGGCACAGCCGTGTCCCTTCCTCTCTGCCTTGTTCTGCCGCCGCTCGCCACCGCCGCGGGGACAGAGCGGGACCCTGGCCCCGTAAGTGCCTCTTCCCACGTTCCCTCCTTGCTGCCCCGGGCTCTGGCCCTGGAGACCCAGGAATGGGGGCTCTGTGCCCGGACAGGGGGTCCCCCCCAGCCACGGAGCCTCCCTGTGGCCAGGAGCGTCCTGGGCTGGGTGCCCTGACGCGGCTCCTGTGCGCAGAGCTCCCTGGTGCTGCCCAACGGGGACCGTGCGCGGGCCATCGCCGACTACCTGAGCAGCAGCAAGAAGAGGAAGGTGGAGGACAAGGACTTCGGCACCGACTACGTGAGCCCGGAGCGGCGGTGGCCGCGTCCCCCCGTCTGCTCCCCAGGGCCCCGGTGCCCGGCGCGGTGCCAAGCGGCCTCTCTGCGTTTCAGGGCAGCGACGCGGACAAGAGCGAGGACAACCTGGTGGTGGATGAGGTTGGTGCTGGGGCCGGAGCTGGTGTCTGCCCCGTCTCCTCCGGGATGGCGGGAGCCGCGGGGCGGCTCCTGCCGYCCGCCCTGCTCACGGCACCCATCGGCCGCCAGGACCCCGCGTCYCCGCGCAGCGTCCACTCCTACTCCTCGCGGGAGAACGGGGCAGAGAAGGCGGCGCCGGGGAGGAAGGAGGCGGCGCCGCCCAGCCCCACRTCCCTGGCGTCGTCCAGCAGCGCGTCGCCGTCGCGCGGCCGCGACACGGTGAGCGGGGCGGCCGTGGGCAACGCGGAGCAGCCGTGCCGGATGCACAGCGCTCACTGCGGCCCCGCTCCGGCAGGCGGACAAGTCCAGCACCCCCAGCCTCAAGCCCGGCACCCCCACGTCGCAGGACGCGGCCCTCGGGGCCAGCAGCGCCGCCCCCCAGTTCCGCGCTGCGCCCAAAGCGCTGGAGCCCATCGGTGAGGGGCGGGCAG